CAGCCCTCCGGGGAATATTTCCCTGATGCTGAACAATTTTTGCAAACGTGGCTCTTCCCAAAAGGCTGCATTCGTTCTCACTGCACCTACAAATTATGACTCTGCTCCTTTCACTGCCCCTCAATAAACCGAGTCTCTGCCCTATTAAAGAAGTCCCTGTGACCACCCTCCTTCCCTCACGGCAAACCCACCCTCCCCAGATTTAAAACACTTCAGTACTGCCCCATGCTCACACGTCATTCTCAGATGGGGTCCCACCGAGCCACACTCACCATATGATGGCCAGGGAAGAAAATGCAATCCTGTGGTGGCTTCGTGTGGGCAGCTGTAACAGAGATCTCACCAACTGGGTGGCTTAAGCAACCAACACTCACTTCTCACAGTCCTGGAGGCTGGAAGTCCAAGATCAAGGAGCTGGCTGATTCCGTATCTGGTGACAGCCCACCTCCTGGTTCACAGAGGACCATTTCCCGGACCGCCGTGCCCTCCCATGGTGGAGGGGGCAAGGGAGTCTCTGGGGCCTCTTTTATAAGGTCACTAGTCCCATTCATGAGAGCTCCACCCTCATGTCCTAATCACCTCTCCAAGGCTCCACCTCCTGCGACCATCACATGGGGGGGTAGGTTTCAACATACAGATTTTGGGGGGACACAGTCTATAGCGTGTGGTGTTATCAGGTCCCATCTTCGCATTGTTGAGGTTGGGGTTGTGTTCTCAGCTGGGCCTTCACCCTTTTCTCTTCAAGCCGAGATAGTGTATTAAAAAGCAAGAAGGTGAGAAAAATACTACTATAGGATAAATTTGAATTCGCTAATTTCTAGTAAAGGAAAAGTTTTGCAAGTTCAGTACTTTATTATCAGATGAAATTGTTACTCGCTGGCATGTGTTTTGACAGTCAGTGTGAAGTGTCCGTTTTCCAAAGTGAAATACCAACTCTTTATGTGAAGACCCAAGGCTGTCTGATCTGGTCCCTGTTTATTTCTCCAGCTTCTTATCTTTTTACTCCATTACTCCCCCCGCCCCTTAATAAAGAGTAAAGCAGCCCCCACTAGCATTCACAGTCAGGCCCTGGGTGTTCTCCTATTAAATATAAATGATTTCGCAGGATTTCACACCAGACAACCCACTCTGGGGTGGAACAAGATAAGTAGTCCACAGTAGTCACATGCCTTAACACAGACACAAACAAGAACATTGTTTAAGTCACAAAATGACCACATACCCCCTTCCCCAGCCCCTAGTGCAGGGTAACATGAATGACTGCGGAATATTTACCAACTACGGCTTTAGCCTTTGCTGTGGACTGAATGTTGTATCCCTCCCAACATTCATATGCTGAAGCCCTAATCCCCAGGGCAGTGGTATTTGGAGATGGGACCTTTGGGAGGTGATTTGGTTGTGAGGGTAGTTTCCTGAATGAGATTTGTGCCCTTACGAAAGAGACCCCAGAGAGCATCCTTGTCCCTTCTGCCACATGAGGACCCAGTGAGAAGCCCTTTATGAACCAGGACATGTGCTCTTACCAGACACCGGATATGTCAGTGCCTTGATCTTGGATTTCTCAGCCTTTGGAACTGTGAGAAATAAATTTCTGTTGTCTGGGGCACCTGGGTGGCTCAGTTGGTTAAGCATCTGCCTTCGGCTCGGTCATGAACCCAGGGTCCTGGGATCGAGCCCCGCATCGGGCTCCCTGCTCCACAGGAAGCCTGCTTCTCCCTCTCCCACTCCCCCTGCTTGTGTTCCCTCTCTTGCTGTGTCTCTCTCCCTCTCCCACTCCCCCTGCTTGTGTTCCCTCTCTTGCTGTGTCTCTCTCTGTCAAATAAATAAATAAAATCTTAAAAAAAAAGATAATGAATATTTCTGTCACCCTAGAAAATACCATCCATCATGCCCTTCCCTATCAACGGCAATTTTCAGAGTTAGAGCCACTGTCCTGTGGATAAGGGGGAGCATGAAAGAGAGCCCCTGACTTCTCAGCTGTATTCACCTGGAATTTAGCCTCTTCAAAAAAGCTGGCAAGGAATGAGAAATGCTGGCAACCTGCCTTTTCCTGGGAGGAGATGGAGCCTTGTGTTCTTGCTCTACCCACCTGGAATGGAGTTTCCATCATCCTGAACTGGAATAGGGATAGAAGGGCAACCAGCAACATTATTCTTAAAAGCCAAAACTGGGAACGATGGAAATGTCTATCAACTGGTGAATGCATAAATGAAATGTGGTGTATATTCACACAATGTAATAATATTAAGAATATAATGTTATTAAATATGGGTGTGTGTTCTAACATGGTTGAACCTCAGAAACTTAAGGCTTAGTGAAAAATAGCAGACACAATAGACTTTATATCATGTGATTTCATGTATATGAAATATTCATAAAAACAGTTCATTAGAGATTGAAAGCAGATCAATGATTTCCTGGAGCTGTGAAGGGAGTGGTATTGATTGCAAATGGGCATAAGGGTCCTCTTTAGGCTAATCAAAATGTGTGACAATGACTACGGAGCTCTATAAATTTACCAAAAAATCATTGAACTGTATACTTACAATGAATTAATTTTATATGACATAAGTTATACCTCAATAAAACGTTATTAAAAGTCTGCTGGGGACTTCTGCTTCTGAGCATGAGAGGATAATAGGGCCCAGAATTATTCTCCTGTAAACAACTAGAATACCAAACAAAATACAAGAAACCTCTATTTTCATACATGGAATGCAGACAGGGAAGAACTGTGCTTCTTGAGAGAAGGAGAAAAATGAAGTAAACCATATAATCACCCAGGTTTTTTGTTAGGAGGTTGTTTGCAGATAGCAGAGTAAGAAGGGGATGGGGGCACAATAAAAGGGACTGAACTTTCACTGAGTTGAGGAGCCAGACATTAAAGGTTAAGGAAAGAGACGTAGCTAAAATATGTAGGTCAGAGTTTCAGACAGGAGAGTATTGTGGAGAAAGGGTTCAAGGTCTTCATGAAAGGTCCTTGAGTAGTTGGAAAATACCAATCTGTATGTGCATAGGGTGAAACCCCCTGAGGCCAAATGAGAACAATTTCTGAGAGAAGGAATTACTGGAGAGCTATTAGATGGGAGATTCCCAGAGCTCACAAAGGGCTTGGACTTGTGCATATTCCCTCCAGCCAGAGTGAAGATACCTCCTTGAATCCATGGGGCAGTCAGCAAAAGCTCTAAAAGGGCCATGGCATTCAAGTGAAAAAAAATTAGCCCAACACCAGACCTATCTTAGGAGGAGCTAAAAATTAAAGAGTCTTAAAAATATTGGCCCAGGGGTGCCTGGGTGGCTCAGTCGGTTAAGCATCTGCCTTTAGCTCAGGTCATGATTCTGGGATCCTGGGATTGATCCCCACATCAGGCTTCCTGCTCAGTGGGGAGCTTGCTTCTCCCTTTCCCTGTACCTCTGCTTGTGCTCTTTCACTCTCTCTCTCTGTCAAATAATCTTAAACAAAAATATTGTCCCAACATGCAAGTAACTTAACTGCCTTAAAAAAAAATGATCAACGTTTTTAAAGAAATACAACAAAACCAAGCAGTCAGACACATAAAATTGACAATGTCCAGCACTCAGTGAAAAATTACTAGACATACAAAGGAATATGAACACCTGATACTCAACAAGAGAAAAGTCATCCAATGGAATCAGGGTCAGACATGACATGGGAGGTGGAAATAGGAGACAAAGACATTATAAGAGTTATTACAAATATGTGCCAGTTATACTCAAGGATGTAAACGAAAACATTACCATTACATAATAAGAGAAGAAGCATAAGATTAAAAACAGGAAATGTAACTTTTTTTTAAAGATCTTATTTATTTGAGAGAGAGCACGCGTGCGCACACACACACACATGCGTGTGAGAGAACAGGGGGAGGGGCAGGGGGAGAGGGAGAGAGAATCTCAAGCAGACTCTGTGCTGAGGGCAGAGCCCAACACAGGCCTGGATCTCATTACCCTGAGATCATGACCTGAGCCAACATCAAGAGTTGGACACTGAACGAGTGAGCCACTCAGGCACCCCCAGGAAATGTAATTTTTTTAAAAAGATTTTTATTTATTTATTTGACAGAGAGAGAGCACAAGCAGGGGGAGCAGCAGAGGAAGAGGGAGAGGCAGACTCCTCGCTGAGCAGGGATTCCTGATGTGGGGCTCGATCCCAGGACCCTGGGATCATACCTGAACTGAAGGCGGACACTTAACCATCTGAGACACCCAGGCACCCCAGGAAATGTAACTTTTAAAGAAGAAAATATATTATCTGAGATGAGAGTTCCACTGAATGAGATCAACAGCAGATTGAACATTATAGAAGAATGATCAGCGAACTTGAAGATGTAGCAGTAGATCCTGTTCAAACAGCAAATAGAGGGGGGAAAAAAGTCTGGAAAATGGCAAACACATGTTCAGGGCCTTGTGAGATAGCATCAGGCCACATTACATATGTAAAAGGAGAGACCCAGAGATGATGAGAGAGGAAGAATAGGAAAAGAACATTGAAATTAATATTGGCTTCAATTTTTACAAATTTGATCATAATTGTAAATCCACAGACCCAAGGTACTCAACAAATTCCAAACAGGATAATATCTTTCTTTCTCCCCTTCTTCCTCTCCTTTCCTTCTAAACACACACACACACACACACACACACACACACACCAAGGCATATATTAACCAAATCATTTAAACCCAGGGAAAAAGAGAAAATATTAAAACTGGCCAGAGAAAAAGACAAACTACAAACAAAGAGAGAAAGGTAAAAATGACAGAATTCTCACAAGAAACTATGAAAGACAAAAGAATTTGAAGAACTGAAAGGGAAGAAAATGTTATCCTAAAATTCTTTATCCCATAAAAAATATCTTTCCAAGCTTATGTAAACAGAAACTTCTCCAGACAAATAACAGCCAAGAGAATTCACCACCAGCATATCTACACCACAAGAAAGATGGGACAAGATATTTTGGCAAAAGGACAGTGATGCTACAGAGAAACCTGAATGTATACAAAGGAATGAAGAGCCATGGAATGGTTAATATGTGGATAAATATGAAATAGCTTATTTTTCTAATTAAAAAATCTCTTTAAAATTCTGTTTTAAAAATAATATGAGATTTATAACAATATATTATGGGGTTGAATTTGGGGCTTATCCAAGATAAACACACAGAAGCAATATATTACATGGGGTATGCATAATTCAAATTAATAATAACAAAAATCTATCTATGTCCTCACTCGCCCTCCCCACCACAGATTCAGAACCAGCTGGAAGAGTCTTAACGACCAGAGGTAGAGAGACGTTATTTCTGGAGAGGAGGCAGGGTCCAGTCCTCCAGGACCTCCTTGCTCCACAGAGTTGTACAGGGGTGAGTCTCAGGATGCAGTGGTTTGACAGACCCTCATCCACCGGACAGCGGCACCACCATGAGGAAGAGGGCTCAGTCACAATTTGCAGCCTTATCCTCTTTGGAGCCTCTGAACCTGTGGGGGAAACACAGTTCTGAAGTAAGAGACCAGTTCTGTGGATGGCTTTCTCTGGAGAGGACAAGAAGAGTGAAGCTACCCAAGGGATCCCAGAATCTGGGATCCTGTGAGAAAGGGCTTCTCACCTGGTGTAGTAGATCCTGGTGAGGCCATAGGTGAAAAGGAAGCCAGCCCGCCTGAGGGTCCCTCTCAGTAGGGTGAGGATTAGAGGCCAGGGGCTCCACTGCTCCCCAGAGATTTGGGGGCAGGAACAGGAGATACCTGGGAGGAGGAAGAGAGAGAGGAGGAGGAGAGTGAATTTCCTTAAGTCCACACCTTAGTCTTGTTCACCTGAGAATGCAGATGTCCTGCATATACTCACCCTGCACAACTAGGTTCGGGGAAACATGGTAGGAGTTCCACAAGTGTGGAGCTAGGCAGGTGAGTTCTCCTCCATCACCCAAGACCGTCGGGGGCAGCACTAGGACCCCGGGGTTTGAGGGCTGGGAGGGGCTCAGGGTCAGGCTTCCCCAGGACCAGCTCAGCCTGGTAGGGAAGTTGTCACCTGTGTCAACGACCAGGCACAGGGACTGGCCCTCCTGAACTCGACGAGAAGTGGCATTGCCCAGGACCTCTGGGACTAGGGGACAGAGAAAAGCCCGAAGGGCAGGGCTGAGAGCCCCTTCTCTCCCTCTGCCCTTCCACAGACACAGGTGTGGAAAATAGTGTCTCTCAGACAAGTGTTACAAGCAAAGGCAAGTAAGAGTGAAGATCCATCTGTTGAGGTGGTGAGAAGGAGAGGCACCTGATGATCCCAGGACATGTGGGTGGACCTCTGAGCAAGAGTTGGCATGTCTAGACCTGGCAGAGGACATCCCAGGAGGTGGGCTTTGGTGTGTGATGCTGAGGAGGCGCGTGGACACACGTAGGTCTGACCACTTGAGGGAAAGACTGGGAGGCTCACACACAGGTGATGCTCCCAGCCTTTCCTCTAAGGGCCACAGGGAACTATGGGAGGGTCTGAGCAGGGGAGGAACAGGGCCAGATCTAGGGCATGTAGAGACACCTTCAGGCCAAGTTGTGGTGGACTGCGGCGGGGGGTGGTTGCAGAGACTGGCAGGCCAGAGAGGAGGCTGGTCCAGATGCAAGTGGTCTCACTATGTCCCGGTGAGAGAAGGCAGAGGCCCAAGGTGGGGCTGCCACTGCAGGGATGGAGGAAGAGAGGCCACTTGAGACATTTTCCAGAAGTCGAGTGTGCAAAACTCGCTGAGTCATGGGGAGTGTTGGGTGAGGCACAGAAATGTCTAAAGTGACTTCCAGGATGTTGACTCAGGTTGCTCAGGTGGGAGGGGCCTCCCCTGGGTAGCGGAGGGGGCTCTGGAGGATCTGGACTGGACCGAGATGGACAGAGACGTGCGAGGGTCTTCAGGGCAGACATAGGACTAGAAGCACCAGGGCCCAGGCTTACCCACAGGGTCATGCAGAAAGCAGCCAGAGGCCCAATCCCCAGCAATAGGAACCTGTATCTAAGGCTCCTGGTGGGACAGCGAGATGTCATGGTCATAGGAGAAGCAGAGAATCAGGAAAAGGGTATTATGACGGGAGAGTGAGGGGAGAGAGGAAGCAGCCACGGTGACAGCGAATGGTCAAACTAGGATTCACAGTGACCCTGGAGAGTCCAGCCACGGGATGGGTGTGGGGCAGACTTGGGACCAGGGAGGGGATAAGGAGCGATGGGGCTTCATTCCTTCAGACCCTCACATTCCCTTATTTGACTTCTGAGATGTCAGTTGTGCCCCGGGGGCCTCTCCTATCTGTGCTATTTCCTCTGAAGATGCAGATGGTCAGGTTCTGTGGAGCATCTGGAACAAAAACAAATACTTGGCCACCTGCAGTATGACGAGGTGGCCATGAGCAAGGGGGTGGGGCCTGGGTGTTCTCTCTATCTTGATCCTGTGCCTCTAAGAATTCTCCCCAAGTATCCCACCCAAGCCCTGCCTCCCTCTCCCCAACACCCACAGCCCTCAGGGACCCTGGCATACTGACCTGGCACTCACAGGACACGTTGAGCTGGATGGTCCTCTCCGTGTTCACACCAGCTCCGGGGAAGGCCACTCGACAAGTAAGGTTGGTGCCGTGGTCCTGGGGCCTCGGGGTGAGGGTGAGCACGGAGGAGTGGGGAGTCTTGCAGCCCCTGGAGGTGAGGGCGACCCCGATCCAGGAGAAGGTGGGGGGTGTCCCCCTCTTACAGGCCCATAGCATGCTACAGGTAATGTTCTTGGGGCGGCCAGATTCTAGGGGCCCCTGGATGTGGATGTCAGGTATCTGTGTCAGAGCTGAGGAGGAGAGAGACAGAGATCCTGGAGTGGGACCCTGAGTGTGCCCCTGGAAGCAGCCTCTACCCCAGGCCAGCCGTCTCCTCCCCAGCCAGGATGGAGACCAGGGGGTCCCTTCCCAGCCCTGCCCCAGGAGCCCTCAGGATCCATGCATGGGACATGTGTCCTCTCCTTGACCCCGTTCCTTACCGGTCACACGCACGGAGAGCTGGTTCTGTAGGTAATTATATTTCACATAAGACCCTCTCTCCACCCTAAAGAAGTATGTCCTCGAGTCCCTTCTCTGTGCATCTCTGATGTCCAGGGAGCAGTTGTCGTCCCGGGGGTCCCCGAGGAGGTGGAATCGGCCCTGGGTCTCCTCCTGCACTTCTCGATCGGGGTTGTTTGTGGCCACTAGAACATTCTGGCTGTGACCACTCCCTTCCTGGAACCAGTAGCCATAAGCTGGGTCATCGTCAGTGTATTCTCGTCGGGGGTGGGAGAATTTGCAGGGCACATGCACACACAGGCCCTCCTGCACCTTCACGGTCTCCTGCACTTGCAGCCGGAACATTGAAGGCTGATCCAGGAACCCTGTGGGGAATCGAAGGTCAGCAGCAGCCCCCGCCCGCCCGCCCCGCCCCCGGCCCACTCACCTGCCCACAGCAGGGGCAGAAAAAGCGGTGGCAGAAAAAGCGGTGGCAGCATCTTTGAGATGGAAGATGTGTGGGCTTCCTGTGGGTGAAGAAGTGGAGAGCAGTGGAGGAGGGTTGTGGGGGACCCACGGGAAGCTGGGGAGGAGCACAAGGCCTTGTGGTTCTCAGAAGAGGAACTTCAGCGCCAGAGCTCCCCCCATCTCTGCACGAAGCCGGCGACCCCCGCCCCCTGCCTGCCAGAGACCAGGGAGCCCCATCCAGGGAGGAGAGACCAGCAGCAGACCCCGTGTCCTGCCCCCCATCTTGGCACCTCCCTCTGGCACCGGAGACTGGACCAGGACCTCTGAGGACATGTGAGGCATGGGACACAATGAATCTCCTAAGGTCTTCCCACCTGAGGGGCTTGTCTGAGCAGCATCGTCTACACCAGGGAGCTAGTCAACTCCTGGCTAGACCTGGAAGGTCACAGCCTCATCTAGACCCTCAGGTGTTCTGTCCTGCAAGGTAGAGGATTCTTTAGGTCTGTGTGAGCCTCTGCGGCAGAAGAAGAGAAGGGATCCCGGGTGAAGAGAAGGCAGGAGCCATTCATTCATTAATTCACTCATTCATTCATTCATTCCCCAAATGCTTAGTGACCATCTGTGTTGGGGGAACTGGAGACAAGACAGCTGGGCCTGATGTGGTCCGTCCCATGACATGGTCTCCACCCAGGGTGCCACTTCCTCCCCAGACATACAGTGCTGTCCCTGTGGGGTTCAGAGCTGCAGGCACCTGTGACTTGGCCATAAGTCCTGGATATTTTCTAAAAATATGAGTACGAGATTATTTTTGACATGTAGTAAACAAGAGCAACTCTTTTCAAGCTGCAGAACTTGAACCATACCCATTAAAGAACAACTCCCCATTCTCCCCTCCTCCCAGCCCCTGAAACCATTGCTGCAATTTCTGTCTCCAGGAATTTGACTACTTTTGAGACCTCACATAAGTGGAGTCATCCAGTACCTATCTTCTTTGTGACTGGCTTGTTTAACTTACTATAACGTCCTCAAGGTTCATCCATGTGGCAGCATATGTCAGAATTTCCATCCCTCGCCTGGGTGGCTCGGTCGTTGAGCGTCTGCCTTCGGCTCAGGACATGATCCCAGGGTCCTGGGATCGAGTCCCGCATCGTGCTCCCTGCTCCGCGGGGAGCCTGCTTCTTCCTCTGCCTCTCTCTCTCTCTCTCTCTCATGAATAAATAAATAAAATCTTAAAAAAAAAAAAAGAATTTCCGTCCCTTTTTAAGGCAGACGCTTAACGACTGAGCCACCCAGGCGCCCTAGGCCACATTTTTTTATCCGTTCAGCTGCTGAGGGACACTTGGGTTGCTTTTACTTTTTGGTTCTTGTGCATAACGCACTATGAACACAGGTGTGCAAATATCTCTCGGCCCCTGCTCGTAATTCTTTTGGATATGCACCCAGGCGTGGAATTGTTGGATCATGTGGTGATTCTATTACTAATTTCTTTTTTTTTTTAAGATTTATTTATTTATTTGAGAGAGCGAGAATGAGAGAGAGTACATGAGAGGGGGGAGGGTCAGAGGGAGAAGCAGACTCCCTGCCGAGCAGGGAGCCCGATGCGGGACTCGATCCAGGGACTCCAGGATCATGACCTGAGCCGAAGGCAGTCGCTTAACCACCTGAGCCACCCAGGCGCCCCTATTACTAATTTCTTGAGGAAAGGTCATACTCTTTTATTAACTTGATCTATTATCAAGTCACGTAAGCTGTGCATTTTAATGTCTCCAGTCTGGATCCCTCCTCTGATTCTGGATATTCATACTCCTGCTCTCTCCCTGACATCCCCAGTTGGATGTCAAGTGGCTTCTCAGAATGAACATCACCCTTCAAAACCCGGCTCTCTTAAGTCCTCCCCGGAACAGGACTCTGTCCTTCTGGCTGCTCAGGGGAGACACTGGGCATCGTCCTTGTTCCTTTCTTTCCCCCCACCCCCCACATCCATTAGAACATGCTGTTGGCTTGACCTGTTGGATATATCCAAAACATATCCTCCCTACCTACACTGCATCCCTGGCCCAGTACACCACCACCTCCTGCCTGCACCGCCCCCCCCACCCCAGGGCTGTGCATCTCTTTTTTGCTGCCCTGGGCCCAGTCTGGCTGATTCTGAACAGAGTAGCCATGGGGATCCTGCTAAAATGAGGGTCTCAGCATGTGTCTGCTCTCTGCAAAGGCTTCCAGAATCCTGTGGCGGGCTGCAGTGGCCTTCCATGGGGTCTGCGCCATCCTCTGGGCTCCCCCACATTTGCACTCCTGTGCTGTCAGCCTCAGAGCCACCAAACTCACTGTTCCCCTCTTCCCGTCTTCCTGGAATACCTTCCTCTTAGGCAAGCAAAGAGTCTGCTTCTTCCCTACCTTGGAGTCTTTGTTCCAATATCACCTCCATGGCCTCTCAGCTCCAGGAAACCCAGCCCAATGCGCCTGAGAGCTTTTCCTCCAAGCCTGTATCAATAGGTGATACGCTCTAATTTTATTTATTTACTTGTTTTATTCTTGTCTCCATAACGACAGCACCTTCCCATTCCCTTGAGGTTTTTTGTGGTAAAATATTTGCAAAAATAAAACTTGCCCTTTTTAACACAGGGTGCAATTCAGTGACACTAGGTACACTCACAATGTGGTGTAACTGTCACCACTGCCTCTTCCCAGAACTTTTTCATCATCCCCAACAGAAACTCTGCGCAGTTACCCAACAACCCCTGCCCACCTCCATCCCGAGCTCCGAGCAATCCCCATTCTATTTTCTGTTTCCATGAGTTTGCCTGTTCTGGGTAGCCCAGAGAAGCAGAATCAAACAATGTTTGTCCTTTAGTGTCTGGCTTTTTCCTTTAGCACCTTGTTTTCAAGCGTAATCCCTGTGGCAGCTGCACGATATTCCACTTGTGAGTCTACACCGCAGTTTGCTCATCCATTCTTCTTTTTTTTCAATTATTTATTATTATTATTTTTTAAATTTTTTATTTATTTACTTGAGAGCAAGAGCGAAAGAGAGAGAGAGAGAGCACAAGCAGGGGGAGTGGCGGGCAGAGGGAGAAACAGAGTTCCCCCTGAGGGCAGAGCCTGACGCAGGGCTCAATCCTTGGACCCTGAGATCATGACCCTGAAGTCAGACATTTAACTGATGGAGCCACCCAGGCGCCCCAAAACTGTTTTGCTTTTTACTTTATGATCTGGATAACTCTTATTTCTATTTCTTGCCTTTATTGCACTGGAAAGGATCTACAAAATACTGTTTAATAGAAGTGGTAAGGGCAGCCATCCTTCCTTGTGTTTGATCCTGGTGGGAAAGTTCTGTGACCTTTGGGATTGGCCCCTCCAAGCCTTCAGAGAAATCGTTAGCAGAAACTTTCTGTTAAAGTGTCTAACAGAAGTCCTGACACACACGTCTTCAGAGTTCACAGAAAGCTTTGTGTCGGGACTTAACTGTTTTAATTAGAGCCTCTCATAGATCTTTCATGATCATCTGGCTAGATAAGGATGACTTCCCTGCTTTGTAGAACGGCAAAGTGAGTCATAAAGTGATCCATGGCATAGACGGATTGGAACACAGTTCTTTTGGACGCAAGTCCTGGGGTCTTCCACACATACTAGGAGATTCAAACCACTGTGAAGAAGGCCATTAATTTTAAAATAGTCAAGGTTGAGAAATCATAAGATTAGTATGTTGAAGTTCTAATCCCTGGTACCTCAGAATGAGACTGTAGGAAATAGGGTATTTAAAGAGGCAACTTCAGTTAAAATGAGGTCACTAGTGTGGGCCTTAATCCAGTACATCTGGTGTCCTTATAAGAAGAAGAAACTAGGACACAGACTCACACAGAGGGAAGACCAGGTGAGGACACAGGGAGAAGACAGCCAACTACAAGCCAAGGAGAGAGTCCTCTGCTGACACGTTGATCTCAGACTTCCAGCCTCCAGAACTATGAGAAAAGCAGTTCCTCACTTGTGTGTCTTGATCTCTGAGTACTCCGTGTTGATGCTTTCCCGCTCCTGAGGCTTCAGCTTGGGAAATCTGAGGAGAGCATAGTGGAGTTCCTGCTCCTCTCTTGAAATGGGGCTAGCCTCAGCAGGAGCTGGGTGGTCTGCAGGGCTGTCCATCCAGGACTGGTGCTGATGTGCCTGAGTGGAAGGAAGAGGATGGACTCAGAGCTGGTCAATAGGGTCGGCGGGGGCGGGGGGAGGGGGGAACAGCCAAGGACCACAAGGGGATTGGCCCTGATGGAACTTTTATCACTTACCCATTAATTTATTATTAAAAGTTTAATAATTAAGATTGACCAGCCCTTAGTATTTATATTAATTGTATTACATTCTTTAAAAAATGAAAGCTGGGAGAGGATATTATTATCATACTCATCACACAAATAATAAAACTAAGGCTAAGAGAGATGATATACATTGCCCTAAAGACACACATCTATATAGGGGTGCTTGGATGGCTCAGTCGGTTAAGCATTTAACTGTTGATATCAGCTCAGGTCTTGATCTCAGGGTGGTGAGTTCAAGCCCCGGGTTGGGCTCCACGCTAGGTGTGGAACCTATTTAAAAAAAAAAAAAAAGACACACATCTATATAAATGTATAAATGCACCATTGAGCCAAGACTCAAAACCAATTCTTTCTAACTATAGTACCATCCTTTGTCTGGACAGAGTACAAGATGCTGTGTGGAGTGACGAACACAGCAAGTACATTTCCTGAGACCAGGCAGCTTGTGGTTTTCTAGGAGAGGGAGTTACTAAACAAATAGAAAACAAATACAAAATAAAATCTTTAAAAAAAAAAGGGACGCCTGGGTGGCTCAGTCGGTTAAGCGTCTGCCTTCGGCTCAGGTCATGATCCCGGGGTCCTGGGATCGAGTCCCGCATCGGGCTCCCTGCTCCGCGGGGAGCCTGCTTCTCCCTCTGCCTCTGTCTCTCTCTCTGTCTCTCATGAATAAATAAATAAAATCTTAAAAAAAAAAAAAAAGAAAACAAATACAGAGTACTACATTTGTGATATGAGGTATTTTGAGATCTAAAGCAGGGCAGGGGTGGCATATCCAGTTTCCGGGCAGCGGCTAGAAGACCAAGCAGTCAAGATGTCAGCCCACGTCCGCTCCGTGCCCGCAACACCCTCAGGCTATAGAAGCATGAAACAGGATGCCCTCACACAGCCTCTCAGAGAGGCAAAGAGAAACAGTTCTCAGATTAAGAGGAAACAGGTATTTCTCTGGGCTCTGGGGATACAACAGGGAATAAAACAAGAGCAACAACAACAAACTGCCCTTGGGACTCACCTGCTAGGGGAGGGAATGATTCTAATTGTAGTAATGAGTACTGTGCTTAGTCCCTGTGTTAGACACTTGTCATAACTACTCTATGATACTCTGTGTACTCGTTATATTCCCATGTCACCAAAATAAACAGAGGTCAGAGAGGGTGTGTCACTTGCCCAAGGTCATCCAGCTTGTCAGCAGGGAAAGATGGGATTTGAATGCAGGAGTCTAGCTCCAGAGTATGTGCTTTGAGCCACTATACTGTACTGACTGCAAAAGACATTCACTTAAAAGAAAAAAGTACTGAGAGGGGCGCCTGGGTGGCTCAGTTGGTTAAGCATCTGCCTTGGGCTCAGGTCATGATCCCAAGGTCCTGGGATCCAGCCCCGAATTGGGCTCCTTGCTCAGTGGGGAGCCTGCTTCTCCCTCTCCTCCCTACTTGTGCTCTCTGTCGCTATCTCTGTCTCTCTCTCCCAAATAAATAAATGAAATCTTAAAAAAAAAATACTGAGAATTTGAACGTAAAGAAATGGAAAATATATCTCCTGATTCCCGACAAGATGGGGATTTAGCCCACGCTAAGGGTTCCATTCCCCAAGGTTGACCAAGGAGACAAAAGACAGGCAATTACATAAATTAAACTTTAAAAATGATTTTGCATGTACTTGTTCTGCCCAGGTTACTGAGAGAAGAGTTTTGAAATCATCAACTGTAATTGCCAATCTGTTCTCCTTGCTGTTCTGTCAGTTTTCTTTTTTTTTTTTTTTAAGATTTTATTATTTATTTGAGAGAAAGAGAGAGAGACAGAGAAACAGCATGAGAGGGGAGAGGGTCAGAGGGAGAAGCAGGCTCCCTGCTGAGCCAGGAGCCCGATGTGGGACTCGATCCCAGGACTCCAGGATCATGACCTTAGCCGAAGGCAGTTGCTTAACCAACTGCGCCACCAGGCTCCCTGTTCTGTCAGTTTTCATCCATTTGTTTTGATGAATGATGCTCTGTTATTGGAGGTATACATGTTTAGGATTTTTACATCTTTTAATGAAGTGATAGAAGCCAGATAAAGACAGTAAATATTGCATGATTCCATTTATATGAAGTTCCAGAAGGGACAAAAGAAATCCATAGTGATAGAAATCAGTGATTGCTGGAAATGTCAAGCTGACTGAGCAGGGGAACAAAGGAATTTGGGGACCTGATGGAAATGTTCCACATCTTGACTGGGGACATGGGCACAGGGTGAACACATTTGTTAAAATTCATTTCACTGCATACTTAAAATGGGTGCATTATTATGCGTAAAGTGTACCTCAATGAAGTTGATATTAAATAAACACAGTGGTAGATTTGAAAAATGCAGTGGGAATGATGAGTTGTGAGTGTGGGGTTCCCCAGTCTCTCTACCCTAGGGCTCCAGTCTACCACTTCCCTTGCACCCAGTGGGTCTGACACAGACTAAGTTTGGGCCATTGTAATTGCAGGTAATCAATGCCACAAGAAAAGGCTAATAGTCCAAGGAAATGTGATACTCTGACGTAGGAGGCAGAAACAGCCCCAACAAGCAAGTGGGCTATATACATATTCCATCAGAAAGAGAAGTATTAGAGCAGCTGAATCAGTAATTTAAAGAGGAACTCAGGGAGTATTGGATGTTTATAGGGAAATGCTCAGGCTCCCATACTGAGGGTGACTTCCAAAAGCTATTTGCTGGATAGGAACTCACAGTCTGTCACTCACCCCAGAGCCTGAGCGGCTGGCTGCATTCATGTCCATGCTTCTCATTGGCTGGGCTTCTTTCTTCTTGCAGATCTTCACTCTAAGGGAAAAGCCCCAGGCCTTTCAGCTTGGTTATTTGGGGCATGCAGTAGGTGGACCATCCCCTGCAACCCATGAAGAGCATAGAATAAGGTAGGTGGAGGTGGGTCCAGTCTCCAGATGCTCCCCCTAATCCAAGAGCTGGACCAGGAGCTGGAAGAGACCCCAGGCTTGGCCCACTTGGGTATGGGCTGATCCACACCACCACTCAGCCTCCTTCCCTGGCCCCTGGATTTCCAGGCAGCCCAGGTTCCTCTAGCTCAAGCTCTCTGAGATTCCACGACCTCATCCTCTTCCCAATCCAGGCCTCTCCCTCCATTCCTGGACCCGCTCTCACCTGAAGATAAGGCAAAGGCAGAGGGAAAGCAGGGCTATGGAGCCAGCTCCCCCAACTGCTCCCAGGACCCCAATGGCCCTGGGTTCTGGTGTACCTGCAGAAAATTTGCGTTGTGTGTAAGCCTCAGCTCCAATACATGGCATGTTCCGACCGGCCACTTCCCTCTCTCTCTCTCTGTCCAATTAGTATACCCACCCACTCCCCATCCAGGACTCAGTCATGTGGCATTCCGCTGCCCTGTGGACCCTGGACCAGCCCCTTCCCCTGGCCTCAGAACTAAGGATCTTAAGCCTCCACCTCCTCCATCTGGGGTCTTGGTGGCTCTCCCCCACCAGCCCCATCTCTCCGGGGCTGTTATGGGTTGAATTATGCCCCCCCCACCAAATTCATATGCTGAAGTCCTAGCCCTTTGGCACACCCTTCCACTCCCAGCATCTCAGCATGTGACCTTATTTGGAAATAGAGCCTTTACAAAGGTAATCAAGTTAAGATGGGATCCCTAAGGTGGGCCATAACCCAATATGACTGGTGTCCTCATAAGATGGGGACGTGTGGACACACACACACAGGAGGATGCCATGTAAGCATGAAGGCAGAGATTGGGGTGATGCTTCCACAAGCCAAGGAACACCAGAGATTGCCAGCAAACCCCAGAAGCTAGGGAAGAGGCCAGAAAAGTTTCTCAAAGCCTCAGAAGGAATTGATCTGCAGGCACCTTGATCCTAGGCTTCTAGCCTCCCAAACTGGAAGACAGTAAATCTCCATTGTTTAAGCTGCCCAGTTTAAGGTACTTTGTTACAACATCCCTAGAAAATTAATACAAGGGCCAAGTTCTCCTTCCTCCAGGCATCACCCCCCAACAGCCCCCGGACCTGGCAGCAGCAGGAAGGCGGCGCTCTGGGACCCGTGGGCGTTCCGGGCCTCGCAGCTGAGTCTGAGGCCAGAGCCCAGCGGCCCGCTGAGGCTCAGGGAGCTGTTGGCCCAGGGCCCCGCCGAGCTGGAGGTGATGGTCCAGGAGGCGTTGCTGTGGTTCCCCTCCAGCAGCCCCTCCCCCAGCCGCCAGCGCAGGGTGGGGGCCGGCTGGGCTCGGGAGGAACAGCTGCAGTGCAGCCCCTCGCCCTCCCAGGAGCAGGAGGGGCTGAGCAGCCGCGGGGGGTCTGCGGGAGGGAGGCGAAGGGTCAGCGGTGTCTCTCCTGCCCAGGCCCCGGGCAGCCTGCCCCCAGGGGTCCCCACACTCACAGACCACAGAGAGATGCAGGGAGACGTGCTGGGAGCCCAGGGAGTTCTGAGCTTGGCAGGTGAGGTCTCCTTCCTCTGCAGCCCCTACTTGAGGCAGGTCCAGGTTTGCACTCCTGTAGATGGGGGTGGCATTCTGGGCAGGGGACCCCCGGAACCAGCTCAGCTCGGCAGGGGGACTACTCTCAGCAGCACAGAGCAGACCGAGAGCCTGGCCCTCCAGGATGAGAACCGATGACATGTTTTGCAGAATCCTCGGGACTTTGGAAGAGAGATGCAGAGAGAGAGGGAGAGACATGAGCTGGGTGAAGCTGGTGTTTCCTCTGGCAGCGTCCACACTTGCTCTGAGGAGGGAACTGGCAGAGTCCAGTCTGAAGGCCTGCAACGGAGGCTCGGACGGTTTCCCTGGAGCTACTCCAACTGTCCGTCAGATGGAAAACCGAGGGCTCGGGACAGGGATATGGTGAACAAAGGCAGTGAAAGGGCCAAAGCGGAGCCCAAAAGCAGGAGGATTTGACCAAAGAAAGTTGTGGGTGAGAGAACATTAACTTCAAGGGGTCAAGGTTTGTGGGGGCTTCTTCCCACAGCTCTCCCCGTGCCTGACTCAGTGGCTGGCTTCTTGTATGTGTCTCATGCAGTTCCTAGCCAGCAGGGGCTCTGAGACCCAGCTAGGGCTGTCCTGGTGGAGACCCAGGTTCCACCCCAGTCCTGGACAAAAGAGGTTCTTTCCTACCTGCTCTGGTTCCTTGGAAGATCCTGATAGCTGTGTTCTGTGGAGCATCTGGACAGAAGGATGAGGCAACCTCAGCATTCGTGGCAAGGGAAGAGTGGGTGCTGGGCCTTCCCCCAGGAGCCATGGAAGCAGGTAAGGGGGTTCCCTTCCTCCTTAGCTACCAAGACCCCATTGTCAAGCCCTAGCCCAGCTCTGCCCTGGTCTCATGCCCTCAGGGACGTGGGCATCCTGGCCCCGTACTCACGGGTGACATTGAGTTGGACGGTCCTTTCCACCATCACACCAGCTGCAGGGAAGTACACCTGACAGGTGAGGTTGGTGCCATGGTCCTGGGGCTGTGGGGTGAGGGTGAGCACAGAGGAGAGGTGGGTCCTGGGGCCCAGGGAGGTGAGAGCAGCTGACGTCCAGGAGAAGATGGGGGGTGTGCCCCGCTCACAGGCCCAGGGCACAGAGCAGGTCAGGTTCCTGGGGCGGCCAGACTCCAGGGTCCCCGGGATGAGGATGTCAGGTGTGTGAGTCAGGGCTGGTGAGGATAGAGAGGATGTTGTGGCCCCTCAGTGTTTTGTCATCCTGCCCCAGTGCCTGGCCATGGCTATCTCTACCCCTCATCATCCCCAAGAGGAACAGAATGTTCATTTTTCTATCTCTGGGGCCTTTCCCTGGGCCCCTACCATACCTGTCACATTCAGAGAAAGCATCTTATCTAGATATGAATGTGTGTGCATTCGAAAGAAGTAAGTTCCGCTGTCTCCCATGTTGACTCCCGTGATGTCCAGGGAGCAGTCCTTGGTCTGGGGGTCCCCATGGAGGAAGAACCGGCCCTGGGTCCTCTCATGCAGCTTCTGGTTCGGTTTGTTTGTGGCCACTGGAGGATCACGGTTTACATCTGCCCCTTTCTGGAACCAAGACATTTGGGGGGTTGCAAAGGTAAGCCAGGGGTAGGAAAACATGCATGGCACGTGGACACACAGGCCCTCCTGCACCATCACGGACTCCTGTAGTTCCAGCTGGTAGCTCAGAGCTGCATCCAGGGGCCCTGGAGAGAGAGGGAAACACTCAACCCGGAGCTCCGGTGCCTCCCCCAAGTGGGGTTCCCTCTCCCTTCAACCCACTCACCTCCCCACAGCATAAGCAACCACAGCAGCATCCCTCCGTGGTGCCTGGGACAGCCTGCCTTCTGCAGTCCCTCTGACAGAGAAAGGAAGCCGCAGGATATGGGAGGGCCGAGGAAGCTTCGACCGGAAGCCTGTGGTAGAAACAAAAGGCCACAAACCTATTATAGAGAACTTCAGACCCGCAGTCAACTGTGATTAACTGGTTCCCTTTCTGCATGTGGCAGGTGGGTCCCAAGGCTCAGAGGCGGCAAAGGTCTTGCTCAAGGAAGGCAGCAAGGAGGGATGAGAGCCTCCAAGTCCTGCCTCTTGGGCTCCTGCACAGTTGTCCGAACTGGACACCTGTTACCGGACAGAGAAGCGGTTCTGAACTCAGGTTCGGCTGCTCGCCGCTTGACAATAATACTCGTATACACCTAAAACTAATATAATACTGTATGATTACTATACTGGAATTAAAGGAAAAGGAAAAAAAAATCAATACTTGAGAAACAAGTGATGGTGCTTTATTCAGGAAGCTGGCAACCTGGGAAGATGGCAGACTAATGACTCAAAGAAGGCCCAGGAAAAGGGAAGGGAGCTACATGCAGGAGAAGCACGTGCCAGACAGTTAGTCATATGCAGACATGACCCTGAACAGACTTGCTGGCATCCACAGCAGCTGTGTTCCAATGTGGTCAGGCCTTCTCTTCTGGGAAAGTCTGGTCCTTCACTCCTCAAGGCTAGTGGTCTGCCAATCTCAAAGAAAGACAGTTAGGTCTGCTACAGATCAAGGGACTTAAGTCAGCAAGCAAGGGGTGCATAAGCATGAAGCAAATTAACCCTTCAGACCTGCTGCAATGCTGTTATAGTCCCACCTGGCCAGCCCCCCAGAGAGTCACAGTCTCGGGACCCTCATTCAGGTGGCCTGCTAGGGATGGGTCTCAGGACAGCCTACATAGCTTCAGAGGCATAAAAGAGTCCAGATGAGGCAAGAGAAACAACATACACCTTCACTTCCTTCCTTTCTTCCTTCACAAACTAACATAAAAAAAAAAAAAGACAGGTTTGAATCAGTCCTGACCCTCAACTAGCTCAAGCAGTAGGGGAAGACAGACAAGCTTGAGCTTTATCTGAAGGCAATGGGGAGCCAGGGAAGGTTCTTGAGCAGGAAAGGGGCAGGGTCACATAGTTATCAGCATGATCCCTCTAAGGCCAGTGTAGGGAAGACCTGGAAAGGAGAGGCTGGAGGCCAAAAGGCCAGAGAAAAAACTGTTGTGATTTTGGGGAAGGGGAGAACCAAGCCCACGTGGAGACATTGGCCTTGGGGATGGAAGAAAGAATTATTTAAGACACTTTCAGGAAGTGAAACTGAAAGAGAGGTGCAGTGGGTGGGGGGAGGGACTATTAGAGTGACTCCCAGAGCCCTGACTCTAGTAATGGGGGCGGGAGGTGCCATCGCCAAGAGCAGTGTGAATGTGCAGGGCTAGGCTGGGAAGAAGGTGGTGGGAAAGGTAGCTGAGTTGGCCCCAGGGGCAGGTATATTCACTGGGGGGAGCAGAGGGCCCTGGGTGGAGCTGTGGGAACATACACACACACACACACTCAAGCTTAGCTGTGGGAATGGGGGTGAGAGACTGAGATGGCCTGGCCAGGAAAGTAGCAGCAGAAGAACATGGTCCTTGGTGACCCTGGTGGGAGTGTTTCCAGGAAGAAGCTGGAGGGGGCAGCAGACAGCCAGCCAAGGGGGCATTCAAAAGAGCAGCATCAGCCTTCTCCCATTTGAGCTCTGACACCCCGCTTCTGCCCTGAACAGCAGACACCCCACCTCCATCACTGCCCCAGAGCAGAGTGTTTTTCCAACCTGGGCCATTTCCTTGGACAGGGCCCAATACCAAGATTCCTAGAATATTTGCACCAGAGAATGACAGTATTTTCTATTTCAATTTTGGGGGGTGGGGGAGGCTAACCCTTTGGATCCACAGAAGGGTGGTGAAGTGAGACGGTCGTGCTTTCTTCTTCTTCCTCATACCAGGCTTCTGGCCAGTCCTCAAGTCACATAGGCCCTCAGGGGACTATAGGGCCAACTGTAGGAGACGTTGAGCCAGGTGGTGTCAGGAGTTTAGCTGAATGAGTGGTCTAAGTAGGCAATTGAAACAACCATGAGTCAAAATGAAAGTAACAATGAAGCCTTTCATCACATACTATGGTGATACATTGTACAAGAGTCTAAATGGGAGAAAACACCAACTCCCCCATTTCACTTTCCCCCACAGAAAGGCGGTTGGGTTCTAAAGAAAAAAATAATTCCAGGGGTGCCCGGGTGGCTCAGTTGGTTAAATGTCTGCCTTCAGCTCAGCTCATGATACCAGGGTCCTGGGATCGAGCCCCACATCAGGCTCCCTGTTCCAGGGGAGCCGCTTTTCCCTCTCCCTCTGCCTGTCGCTCCCCCTCCTTGTGCTCTCTCTCTCTCTGTCAAATAAATAAATAAATAAATCTTAAAAAAAACCCAACAACAAAAAAGATATGATTCTAAATGTCAAGGGAAAAATTATTCACGACACTTGTTAAGGAACGGTAAAGACTGTATTCAGGGCCATTGCAATAGGTACAGGAACCACCACAATGGGGTTTGGCAGCAGGAGAGAGAGATTGGGCTCAACTCTGAATACAATAAGGGAAAGTGGGAATTTATAGCCAAGGAGCAGGGTGAGGGTCAGTGGAGGGAAAATCGCTGTGAGGGGTGGGGATGTGGAGGCAGGAGTAGAAAATACTGAGTTCTGAGTCAGAGTGGGGAAAGTGTCTTCATGTTTTTCTCCTCCTTCCCCCATAAGGAGGCCTCAGTTGAGGAGCCTGAAGACCTCTGCCTAAGACCTCAGATAAAGAGAGGGAGGAATGCAGGCCCCTGGCCTGTGGATGCAGGTATTCGAGGAGCATGACCAGCCAGAGAGGTCTGAGTCCTTGACGGGAGCAACTCCCTTCAGAACCTTTGAAGCATTGGCTGTCACCAAGTCTGGAGCAGGGAGGGCAGGTTTCCCCCTTGAGGCCTGCCCTCCAAGGAAGGCCTTCATCTTTGCCTGTGATCGGGCCTAGAAAATCACATACAGGTTATACCCAAGGGCCAAACTTCTCAGATGGTTCTGTCCACAGAACTACGACCTCCCAGAAAGGTCACCTGATATGTAGTGCTGGGGTCATGATCTTGGGATCCTAAGATATGGATGAATACTGAAAGATGGGGGGCCTTGGGGCCCAGGGAGGAGAGAAGCATCTTCTTATACAAGCTCCTGGTAAAGTGCTCTTTAGATTCTGAAAAGACTCTGTACTACAGGTTATAAGGGTATAGATTTGGGGTATCTGGTGCAAACTGGAGAAGTCAGCTTTTCCCCTGGAGGAAAAGACTCAGACCCTGGAGTATGATCCTGGGCACAACCTCTACAATGGTCTCTCCTTCTATTAGCCTCAGGGCTCTGTACATCTCCCCCACCCTCCAGATAAGGAGATGTGTTTCCATCTCTAGGGTCCTTTCCTGGGGACCCTTGGCTCTTATTTGTCACATTCAGAGAGTGTCATATATTAGGAGCCATATTTCTTTACCTTTTTTTTTAAGTTTTTGTTTTTTTGTTTTGTTTTGTTTTTTAAAGATTTTATTTATTTATTTGAGACAGAGAGAATGAGAGAGAGAGCACATGAGAGGGGGGAGGGTCAGAGGGAGAAGCAGGGTCCCTGTCGAGCAGGGAGCCCGATGCGGGACTCGATCCCGGGACTCCAGAATCATGACCTGAGCCAAAGGCAGTCGCTTAACCGACTGAGCCACCCAGGTGCCCCAAGTTTTTGTTTTTAAATAATCTCTACACCCAGTGTGGGGCTTGAGCCCACAACCCCGAGATCAAGAGCTGCATGCCCCACTGTCTGGGCCAGCCAGGTGTCCCTATATTTCTCTATCCTAAAGTATTTCCACTTTTCTGAATTTTGGAAATTCTGATGCTCAGAGAGCAACTGGGGGCCCTTGGGTCCCAGAGGATGTTCTCTCTTTTTGGTTTTTGATAGGGTTTGTGGCGAGAGAAGGATTGTGATGTCCCTCAGCCATCTCCAAGATCTAAAAGTGGGGGTTGATAGGTCAAAGTCAGTCCAGAATGGGATTAGATGCACAGACCCTCCTTCACTGACATTGACTGTAGGATACAGATCATACCTGCACCCTCCTCCAGGGATCATGGTAGCAAACAGAGTGTCTGACCACAGCCCCACCCAGACCTCTTCCTCAGACCTCTGTTGCCCTCACAGTTGCAGCCAGCCACCAAAGCCCCAGCAGCATCTCTGGGCTGCAGAGAATAGTCTCGATTCCCTTAACACTGTCTGGTTAGCCTCTCCCAGCTTGGAGATGGGGGCATCTGAGGGGTAGTAAGACAACTGGGGATGCTTTCTGGATAAAATGTATGGTTTCTGTCCCCAACTTTTCCCTTCAACAGGAAGACCCCTTTCTCCTTCAGGCCACTGCTGGGGAAGTGAAAGCTGAGCCCTTATCTCCCTGGACCATGGCTGGGTGGGCCTTCCTTCTTCCCACACCCCAGAACCCTACCTCTTAACTTCTGAAGACCAATCCACTTCCCTCAAGAGAGATGTGGAGTTTAAGGGTCTATTTTCCCCAGATAGCTTTCTTAGAGACTTTCTCATGAGGATGGAGGAATGGAAGACCAAGACCCTCCTCGGAACGAATCTTCTCCATGTTTTGGGCCCACCCTGGAGAACTCAGGAAGCCCTGGGTGAACTCTTGAATTCTTCTGCAGGGAAAGACCCTAAGGACAGAGGCTGGGACTGAGCCTGGAGCTCTGACTCCAGCCCCACACTTGGGTACGGGCAGCTTGGGTGAGCTAGAACTTGTGACTAGGTCTTTACCCCTCCTCACATTTCCCATGAGCCCTGCACATACAGAACATCTCTCCCCTTCCTTTCCACAGTCTTCCAGGTGCCACAATTCCTCTCCTCCATGGAGTGATGACCTAATTTCCCTCTCCTCACTTAGCCTCTAGTTCTCCCAAGGACAGTGCTCCATCTCTGAGGTCACAGAACTCTTCCCAATCTAAGCAAGGTCCCTTATGTGCCTAAACACTTGGAATGTCTTCCTTCACTTCCAAAGACAATGTCTCAGTTAGCCTCCTGAAATTCCAGTCCTTTATTTATCTGACAGACACTGAAGCATATATTTTTTAAAGATTTTATTTATTTATTTGAGATAGAATGAGAGAGAGAGAGAGATCACATGAGAGGGGGGAGGGTCAGAGGGAGAAGCCGACTCCCCACTGAGCAGGGAACCCGATGCGGGACTCGATCCCGGGACTCCAGGATCATGACCTGAGCCGAAGGCAGTCGCTTAACCAACTGAGCCACCCAGGCGCCCTGAAGCATATTTTTAAAAAAATCTTTCAGGGGCGCCTGGGTGGCTCAGTCGTTAAGCGTCTGCCTTTGGCTCAGATCATGATCCCAGGGTCCTGGGATCAAGCCCCACATCGGGCTCCCTGCTCTGCGGGAAGCCTGCTTCTCCCTCTCCCACTCTCCCTGCTTGTGTTCCTTCTCTGGCTGTGTCTCTCTCTGTCAGATAAATAAATAAATAAATAAATTTTTAGAAAAAAAATATTTCAGGATTTGGCACATAGCTAGAGTCAGTAAAAGATCATGAGTCTTGTTCTCTGTCCTCCAAAGTTCCATTTGGGTATCAGCCAGAGACTGAGCAAGAGAAAGAGAGAGAGAGAAGGTGGAGGAGAGGGACAGATGAAGAGGAAGAGGGAGAGGGAGACAGGAGGGAGAGGGGAAGAAGGAGGAGGGGAAGTGGGGAGGAAGAAATCAGCTTGTTGGGGAGAGAGGCCCTTCCTGCCTTAAGAGGTAGAGGAGAGAATAAAGGTTTATCCCAGACAGGGAGGGAATCGCTGAAGAGATTGGGGGTGGAGTCAGGCCTGAGAGGCAAGAAACCAAGTGTATGTGAGCAGTCCCACACCGAGGGTATGACCGCACATTAGGCCCTAACTCCCTGGAGTTGCAAGGAGTCTGGGGAGGGCAGAGATAGACTGGGAGGCACTTAATCCTGTTCATATCTGTCCCCAGGCTTTTCCGATTTTCCCACCGCGTCTGCCCACAGCGGGAGCGCTCGCTCCAGCCAAGACACCGAAATCAGGTGGTGGCGCTGTCCGTGGTGCTGAAGCAGAATTCGGTCTCAAGTTCAGGAATAACTGGGCTGTGAAGAAGGGTCTCAGTCCAGGAAAGCAGCTGAGTCAGGACTGGGCCCAATTGGAGTGAGAAAACCGGGGAGGAGCAGGCCCCTCTCCTCCTCCTTCTTTACCCCGCAGGCTAAACTGAGCTCTGCCAAGCAGCTGAATCAAAGCCCTTAGCAGCCTATCTCTAGACTTCGTGTTATGTTAGAAAAATAAAGCCCTATTTATTCAGGTTCCTGAAAGTCCGCCTTCTTATAACTTAGAACAAAATGCATTTCTCATTGATACATTATGTGGGAAGTGGAGATGATTCTTCCAATTCCATCTGAAGCCAACATGACATTTTCCAAAAGTGCCCTACTCATTTAAATATCCCAACAACACATTAAGAGTGCCTGATATGGATGAAAGACCTAAATGTGAGATAGGAATCCATCAGAATCCTTGAGGAGAACACAGGCACCACCCTCTTCGGCCTCAGCTGCAGCAACTTCTTCCTAGACCATCGCCAAAGGCAAGTGAAGCAAGGGCAAAAATGAACTATTGAGACTTCATCAAGATAAAAAGCTTTCTGCAGGGCACGTGGGTGGCTCAGTTGTTAAGCGTCTGCCTTTGGCTCAGGTCATGATCCCAGGGTCCTGGGATCGAGCCCCGCATCGGGCTCCCTGCTCCGCAGGAAGCCTGCTTCTCCCTCTCCCACTCCTTCTGCTTGTGTTCCTTCTCTGGCTGTGTCTCTCTCTGTCAAATAAATAAATAAAATCTTAAAAAAAAAAAAAGCTTTTTGCACAGCAAAGGAAACAGTCGAATAAACCAAAAGACAACCAAGAGAATGGGAGAAGATATTTGCAAATAACATATCAGAGAAAGGGCTAGTATCCAAAATCTATAAAGAACTTAATTAAACTCAACACCCAAAGAACAAAGAATCCAATCAAGAAATGGGCAGAAGACATGAATAGCCATTTCTGCTAAGAAGATAATCCAAATGGCCAACAGACACATGAAAAAGTGCTCAACATCACTCAGTATCAGGGAAATATAAATCAAAACCACAATGAGTTACCACTTCACACCAGTCAGGATGGCTACAATTAACCACTCAGGAAGCAACAGATGTTGGCGAGGATGCAGAGAAAGGGGAACCCTCCTACACAGTTGGTGGGAATGCAAGCTGGTGTAGCCACTCTGGAAAACAGTATGGAGGCTCCTCAAGAAGTTGAAAATAGAGCTACCCTCTGACCCAGCAATTGCACTACTGGGTATTTACCCCAAAGATACAAACGTAGTGATCTGAAGGGGTATGTGCACCCCAATGTTTATAGCAGCAATGTCCACAATAGCTAAACTATGGAAAGAGCCCAAATGTCCATCAACAGATGAATGGAGAAAGAAGATGTGGGGATATATATATATATAATGGAGTATTATGCAGCCATCAAAACCCCCCCCCCAAATCTTGCCATTTGCAACAACGTGGATGGAACTAGGGGGTATTATGCTAAGCGAAATAAGTCAATCAGAGAAAGACGAGTATCATATGATCTCACTGATATGAGGAATTCTTAATCTCAGGAAACAAACTGAGGGCTGCTGGAGTGGTGGGGGGGTGGGAGGGATGGAGTGGCTGGGTGATAGACATTGGGGAGGGTATGTGCTATGGTGAGTGCTGTGAAATGTGTAAGACTGATGAATCACAGACCTGTACCTCTGAAACAAATAATACATCATATGTTAAAAACAACAACAACAACAACAACAAGATAGTAGGAAGGGAAAAATAAAGTGGGGGGGAATCGGAGGGGGAGATGAACCATGAGAGACTATGGACTCTGAGAAACAAACTGAGGGTTTTAGAGGGGAGAGGGGTGGGGGGATGGGTTAGCCCAGTGATGGGTATTAAGGAGGGCACGTATTGAATGGAGCACTGGGTGTTATACGCAAACAGTGAATCATGGAACACTACATCAAAAACTAATGATGTAATGTATGGTGACTAATATAACATAATAAAATAAAAATTTTTTTAAATGCAAAAAAAAAAAAAGATACAAATGTAGTAATCCGAATAGGCACCTGCAACCCAATGTTTATAGCAGCAACGTCCACAATAACCAAACTATGGAAAGAGCCTAGATGTCATTGACAGATGAATGGGTAAAGAAGATGTGATATATATATAATGGAATATTATGCAGCCATCAAAAATTGAAATCTTGCCATTTGCAACGCTGTGGATGGAAAAATAGACTTTTTTTCCCCAAAGATTTATTTACTTATTTGAGAGAGAGAGGGAGGGCAGGGGAAGGACTTTGCGGGGCTCAATCTCATGACACTGAGATCATGACCAGAGCCAAAATCAAAAGTCCGACTCTTAACTGACTGAGCCCACCCAGGCACCCCATAAGACTCTCCTTTTAAACTATTCATCCTAACTCTGAGTAAAAGGGACCTATTCACCCCTGCTGGGGAATCACAGCTTTGGAAGTTATGCCCTGTGATCTCTTTATTTGCTGCGAAGAAAGTTTCTTTGTGTGACAACTCCACGTGGTGTAGTTTCTGACGTGGAGAACAAAGGCAAAAGGAAATGTAGATACAATTAAATTCCTTATAACTTGCAGCCCATTGACAAATACTTGAGGTAGGCAGAATACGACCTCCCTCCAGGAACTCCCAACTATCTTAATGTTAATGCCTTGCTAGAGGGAAAAAAACAACCTTAGCTTGGCAATAGTCAGGCCTCCAGGATCCTGTCTTCTTTAGCATGCATATGAAAATCCTTTTGGAAACTTCCTTTGTCTTTACCTCCCCCAACTCCAAAGGATATAATCAATTGCTCCTTAACAATCCCAGTGCAGCTCTTTCTGCCCTTGGGTCCTGTCCCCATGCTTTAGTAAAACCACCCTTTTTTTTTTTTTTGCACCGAAAACCTCTCAAGAATTCCTTCTTGACCTTCCGCTCTCGAACCCCACTTCAGATCACATCAGTTTCTGTGACTCATCAAGGAGGGAACTCACGTTAGTTCAGTTAAAAAATGACCTTAAACAATTTTCTTGGGCATACCATAGGAACCTAGTATTTGTTGAATGAATGAAATAGAATATTTTTCTCATGTAACAGCTCATTATGTAACAGCACTGTTTTAAATATTTTGCCTATGATAATTTAATTATTTAATCCTCACAACTTCATGAAACAGGAAATCGAAGTATGGAGAGGTTAACTAACTGGCCCAAACTTGAACATCTGGCTTTAAACCCAGGCAGTCCAGCTCCAGAATCTTTGTGCTTAACCATTATATCTGCTGTAGTAAAGACGTTAGGGTTTGAAGCCAACAGCCAAGAAAGAATTCTTGAAAAGTCTTTGTGCAAAAAGGTGGGTTTATTTTATTAAAGCACAGGGACAGGACCCGTGGGCAGAAAGAGGTGCCCTGGGGTCATGAAGAGTGGTCCACAATATACTTTCAAGTTGGGAGGGGGTTAGGGATAGCGTAAGGCTCCCAGGTATTTTGGAAGCAAGGTTTCCAGGACCTTGAGGGGGCTAACTATTGTTGGGAAAAGGTCATTTATTACGTCTAATAGGACTTTAGTCCTGAGACCCTTCAGATGTATATCAGTGGGCCATATGCTTAGGGGATGATTGCCAACACGTATCTTGGGGGGTTTAGAGATAAAGGAACTTTCTAAAGGAATTTTTGTATGTTAAAGTAGACTTACAGAATTCTGGGGGTCGGGCTGAGGTTGCCTTTTGCCCTTAGCAAAGTATTAACATCCAGGCAGTTGAGTCCCTAGAGGAATGTCACTCTGCCTGTTTCAAGGACTTGGTGGGCTGTAGGTAGTAAGGAAATTTAATAATTTTTCTTCTGCCTTTGTTCCCCACATCATACCTACTGCAGTAAATGGCTGCAGAACTTATAAATAAACTACCTCCGAACACCGGGTCTGGCTTTGTCTCTTCTCTCACCTGCAAAGCACTGGGGAGTGGCTCCTATCAGTTCTGAAGGGCCAATCCCTGGGTTTGGTCTGCCTGATTGTCAGCAACCCCGGCCCGGCTGAGCAGGACCCTGGAGAGGCAAGCCCACAGCCTACCCAGTCGTCAGAGCCTGCGGTTGGAGCTGCTTTCGGGGGAGTCTGGTGGTGGAGAGGGGCTTGACTGCCAGGCTCAACACCCGCTGAGCTCCCATTAGCCTCTCCTTACAGGGTGAGTCGTGGTAGCGAAGAAGGGACAGAATACCTGGAACCGGTAAGCCGCCATGATAACTACTGGCAGAGTGTGGCGTCACAGCTTCTACCGAGCATGCGCACCGTTCACTCCCGGCGCGCCGAGAAGCCGGGTCGGGGAATCTAACCCAGACCGGAAGTGGCCCAGCGCGGCCATTTCGCTTAGGTTGTTAACTACTTCTGGGCCGTCTCCCGCCCGTGTGGGAGGCTGAGGTGTTTGGGACATTAGCAGTGGAGATCCTGTGGGGTCTGTGAGGGGGACTCGGCTTGGGGTGAGTGTGAGGGGCTCGGGGGACGAATGGCGAGGGTCTGCGGAGTGAGTGACGGGGTCCTCAGTGCAGGGGTGCTGCGAGACGAGCGGCATTTTCTAGCCCGAGTCGGGTGGTCGGCTCGGTCATTTTCAGGCTTTGCGTGTTTCCTGTACGTGTGGAAGTATTCTGGGGATTTAAACTCTTAAGTGTGTGTGTAAGGTTCTAAAATTTATTTTATTCGAGAGAGAGAGCGGGAGCAGGGGCGGAGGGGGAAGCAGACCCCGCGCCGAGCAGGGAGCCCGATGCGGGGCTCGATCCCGGGACCCCGGGATCATGACCTGAGCCGAGGGCAGTCGCTCAACCAACTGAGCCACCCAGGCGCCCCATGATTTTATTTATTTAAGAGAGAGAGAGCAGGAGAGGGGGGAGGGTCAGAGGGAGAAGCAGACCCCGCGCCGAGCAGGGAGCCCGATGCGGGGCTCGATCCCGGGACCCCGGGATCATGACCTGAGCCGAGGGCAGTCGCTCAACCAACTGAGCCACCCAGGCGCCCCATGATTTTATTTATTTAAGAGAGAGAGAGCAGGAGAGGGGGGAGGGTCAGAGGGAGAAGCAGACCCCGCGCCGAGCAGGGAGCCCGATGCGGGGCTCGATCCCGGGACCCCGGGATCATGACCTGAGCCGAGGGCAGTCGCTCAACCAACTGAGCCACCCAGGCGCCCCATGATTTTATTTATTTAAGAGAGAGAGAGCAGGAGAGGGGGGAGGGTCAGAGGGAGAAGCAGACCCCGCGCCGAGCAGGGAGCCCGATGCGGGGCTCGATCCCGGGACCCTGAGACCTTGACCCGAGCCGAAGGCAGACGCTCAACCAACTGAGCCACCCAGGCGCCCCATGATTTTATTTATTTAAGAGAGAGAGAGCAGGAGAGGGGGGAGGGTCAGAGGGAGAAGCAGACCCCGCGCCGAGCAGGGAGCCCGATGCGGGGCTCGATCCCGGGACCCCGGGATCATGACCTGAGCCGAGGGCAGTCGCTCAACCAACTGAGCCACCCAGGCGCCCCATGATTTTATTTATTTAAGAGAGAGAGAGCATGAGAGGGGGGAGGGTCAGAGGGAGAAGCAGACCCCCCGCCGAGCAGGGAGCCCGATGCGGGGCTCGATCCCGGGACCCTGAGACCTTGACCCGAGCCGAAGGCAGACGCTCAACCAACTGAGCCACCCAGGCGCCCCCCAAGTGTGTCTTAGTGTCGAATTCTGTATTGTTGGTCCTTGGAACTTGCTCGCTTGAGGACGGCGAACGTGCTTCTGGAGCGGGGCTTGGTAGACGGTACCGGGGGCGTTGGCGGAGTGCCTGGCGGCCGCGATTGGGCGCAGGAGCTTCAGAGGTCGGGGGACTTTGAGGGTCCCCTTGTAACATCGGGGAGCAGTGCTTGGTGACCTGCAGAAATCAGTGGGGTGCTAAGGGTAGCATATGCGAGCCGATGGACTGCAGGTCTGGGTGGTCAGTTATGGGGGTTTTGAGGGCCCCCCTTAGCTCCCTGTGGACATGCTCAGTACTTGGCAGTTGAACAGCTGATGATGATTTCCTGTTGGGGTGCATCCGTTGGAACCCCGTGTTGGGAATTATTCGGGGTCCTGTGGAAATCACGCTCCCTGGGAAACATACCGGCAGCCTGCGTAGCCTGGGCTGTGCCAGTGCCTGGGGGGCGTTTCCTGACCTTCTGGCAGTCCTGTGGTCCGCTCCGGGGGGGTATCTGGAGGTCAGTGCTGTCAGGGACTGCATTTGGGTGTGGAGTTGGCAGGCAGTTCATTCTGTACGGTCCAGACGCGGTAAGTGATCCAGGGTCCTGGTGCGTGTCTGCAGGTTTTCCAGGTGAAGGTGGGGGCCGAGGACAGGAAATTTAAGTTTTAGCTTTGTTATGGGGCGCCTGGCTGCTCAGTCGGTGGATGAGCGTGTGACTCGACCTGCGGGTTGTAAGTTCGAGCCCCACCTTGGGTGTAGAGATTACTTAAAAATGAAATATTTAGGCAAACAATGAATCGTGGAACACTACATCAAAAACTAATGATGTGGGCGCCTGGGTGGCTCAGTCGGTTAAGCGGCTGCCTTCAGCTCGGGTCATGATCCCAGGGTCCTGGGATCGAGTCCCAGGTCGGGCTCCCTGCTCGGCGGGAAGCCTGCTTCTCCCTCTCCCACTCCCCCTGCTTGTGTTCCCTCTCTCGCTGTGTCTCTCTCTGTCAAATAAATAAATAAAATCTAAAAAAAAAAAAAAAAACTAATGATGTAACGTGTGGTGACTAACATAACATAATAAAATAAAATTAATTTTAAAAATGGTAAATAAAATAAAATATTCTTTTTTTTTTTTTTAAAGATTTTATTTATTTGACAGAGAAAGACACAGAGAGAGAGGGAACACAAACAGGGAGTGGGAGAGGGAGAAGCAGACTCCCCGCCGAGCAGGGAGCCCGATGCAGACTCGATCCCGGGACTCCAGGATCATGACCTGAGCCGAAGGCAGTCGCTTAACCAACTGAGCCACCCAGGCGCCCCAAAATAAAATATTCTAATAAGAGAAAAATATGAGAAAAGTCTGGGCTGTCTAGGATGGGCGCTGAAATGTCCAGAAGCTTGCACAGACATACCAGCATAACCACCTCAGAGCCTCAGCTCTCTGAAGGCAACAGGAAGTGGAAATGGTGTTTATGGAAGCTGACAACGGAGGGGACCACAGGAAATAGAGGTGGCTGTGTGCAGGGTGTAACGAGGCAGAGGAAGGACCGATTACCTTTTCTCCCGTCTGCAGACTGACCGTAAGGCAAAGCATGTAACAGCTTCAGTTCCCTCATCCTCATGCCTCAAAATGGGCATAATCACGATCGTAATGTTTAGTGGGCAGGGTTACGTGAAAATTAAACAGCGTATTTACCACATGCCAGGCAGGTGCTGAAGGCTTAATAAGACTCATCACATGTCCCGATGCCTGCGATAAAAATGTGCCTCCTCACTTTGGAAATGACAAAGTAGTATCTTCGTTATTCGCAAGGCTAAAAGGTGGCAGAGCTACAATTAAACCTTCATGTAGTCCAAACTCTGTGTTTTGTTTTGTTTTAAGATTTGTTTATTTTAGAGAACACGAGTGCGGGGAGGGCCAGAGGGAGAGAGAGAATCCCAAAGCGGACTCCCCACTGAATGCGGAGCCTGACGTGGGCTCCATCCCAGGACCCTGAGATCATGACCTGAGCCGAAATCAAGAGTTGGCTGCTTAACTGACTGAGCCACCCAGGCACCCCAGAACTCTTCGTCTTTTATTTTACCCTGATTAATAACTGGTTGGATTCTTCTGAACTTTTATTCCATAGTATCTAGCCCATGGCCTTCCCCTAGGGACCCTCAAAAATATTTGTGTGGAGCACATGTTAGAGGAGTGACCATGTGAGCATTGTCTCTCCAGGACTTCCTGGTGGCTTTGCAGAGCCCAGGGGTCAGACCACATCATTGAGTCTGCGGGTCTCTCTTCACAGCCTAGCCAGATGTTCCCCAGCAGCTCTGATCGAAGCCTCCAGATGCCCACCCAGCTTGGAGGTCCTGGGAAAAGTGGAGTTGGCAGCAAGAGAAACTGAGAAGTGAAGTCCAGGAGAGACATGCCTGCTGACGAGAATTTGCCCCAAATGTGCCAGGTCCTGGGTCCACAGGAGCAGGATGGACCATGTGAGGTAAGCAGGAGGAGCCCCAGGGACGGTTCTCCAGAATTTGAGGGCAGACATGAGAAGCAGCAGATTCTGGACCCCCGTTGCTGAGACCGTGTGCATCCTCCTGCTGAGAGCGGACCACGGGGGCTGATGTCCCCTCATTCACAGGCCTTCTGTATAATAGGGAAATGCTAATTCCTTCCTGCTCAGCTCGGAAGATCCTTCATCCACCACTGGGTCTTTGCATATTCTCAGCTGGTCCCTATCTGACTTCTTACCTGCTTGGTGGGGGTTGGGTCGTTTCCCCTCTGTCCTCATGGTTTATAGAATCATAGGATACTAGAGCAAAAACCGTTTTAAGGACGTGTGGTTTTGCCTGTTTTAAAAGATGAATAAAAATGCCAGAGAATAGTGTTTCCAAATTGCCCACAGATACGGTATTTGATATTGGGAAAGAGAAAGGAAGATTCTTGGTTATACTCAAGATTTCCTGAAATTCCAAGTTAGTCTGTGTATTTATTTATTTATTAAAGATTTTATTTACTTATTTATTTGAGAGAGAGGAAGAGAGAGTGTGAGCACGAGCAGGGGAAGGGGCAGAGGGAGAGGGAGAAGCAGACTCTCCACTGGGGGAGGAGCCTGACTCAGGGCTCCATTCCAGGACCCCGAGATTGTGACCTGAGCTGAAGTCAGATGCTTAACCGACTGAGCCACCGAGGTGCCCCTAGTCTGTGTATTTAAAGACACTGTGTTTTAAAACAACAGTGAGTGCATTGTTGACCTGTGATAGGTTTATAATCAAAGTTACAGAGAGATGTTCTGTTTTTAAGAAACATAATAAATGCATGGTTTATTACCATTGTGAACCAGTACATTGTGAGATTATATATTTCAGTAATGTTTTAAGTAATCTCTGCCGACAGAAACATTTGATAATAGAAAACATTGAAAGAAAGGAACATTAAAACTATTACAGTAAATGCCAAGTAAAAATCATTTAAAAAATTAAAAGATACTGCCCCAAATATTTAAAAGTCATTCTTAAAATGAAAACGTAAAACACCCAAATTTGAAACAAAATTGTCGAGATCTTTATT